AAAAAAAAAAAAAAAAAAAAAGGTCCTTTGATTAATATTTGGTTCCATTTACAAACTTGGTTAAACTCCTTTTAAGCTGCTTTTATAAATTCAATATATTCAATTTCCATTCAAGTATATTAGAACTGTATGACTTAACAAACCTTCCTGAATATTTAAATAACTCTTATAAATCTAACACATTAAATTTATAAATATGGTAAAAAAAAAAAAGAGTGAAGCCAGCTTTCTTACAATGCTTACAACTCAAATAAACACACAAATGCTCTCACTAAGACAACTATCACACTTCAGTATGCACACAACTACTTTAAGCATACTTCCTACTTCATCACATAGAATATCAAAACGATACATATTCAAGGGCAGAGATTTAATAAAACATAATTTTCTGCTTCATGAAATATATTAAGTGAAAGTGACTTTTATTTCTTTTTTTACTGGTAGTAGATGGCAGTGAAAAACACAGTGACAACTACTGGTCCTGATTCCTACTAAGGCTCCAATATTTTACCCACCATTTGCTTTGGCCTGTAAGTGCAAATGTCAATACCATGAAACAGGCAAACAATGTGTTAGGTATTATAAAAATAGTTTTGACCTCACAGACCCTTTGGAAAGAGTCTCAGGGATTCTCAGGAAGTCCAGAGACCACATTTTGAGAACCATTGTTTTAAATAAAGGAACTGAAAAGAAAATCTCTTAAAGTGTAATAGTTGTTCAAAGGCTAATTTCAATAAACTCTATAAACTCCTCCTTCATGCTGTGCTATAAATTTGCTTTTTAAATATTAATAATCAACTTAGGGGCTCTCTTGTCCCCTCCTGGCCTGAGCCAGGAACTCTGTGCTCTCGCTTTATCTCTAAATAAAAGCCTCTGCCTTGCTCTCCTTAAAAAAAAAATCATAATCAACTTAATCTCATTCAATCTCTTTTGTAAAATGAAACTTACCTGAAGTGTTTGTAAAGTAACATATTTATGCTGCTAAAGGAGCAATTATTTAAAAATATACAATAATTTTAAAACTCCTAAGAAAATAAAGACTCATTTTTAGATGTATAAAAATGATAAAAAATATCTGCAATATAATAAAACCAAAAATCAGTATACTTACTTTAATAGATCTTGATTCTGTTCCAGTTCATCTTGAGGTTGCTAGGAAGACAAAAAGTATTGGTTTCCAATTAACGAATGTTAATCCAATGCAAGAAGTTAAAATTTTAACATTTAAGATAATTCTTATGTTATTATATCTAAGCACATATTCTTATTGCAGTAAAATATATAACATAAAATTTACTATTTTAAGCACTTTCAAATATACAGTTCTGCTGCATTATGTGCATTCACACTGTTGTACAACCATCCCTAGCATCCATGTCCAAAACTTTCTGTCTTTCCCAACTGAAACTCCCTACCCATCAAACACTAAAATTCCTCATTCATCCCTTTCTCAACCCCTGGTATATACTCATCTACTTTCTGTCTCTATGAATCTGACTACTCAAAGTAACTCATATAAAGGGAATCATACAATACTTTTCTGCCTTTGATTGGCTTATTTTATTTAGTATACAGTCTTAAAGATTCCTCCATGTTGCAGCCATGTCTGCATCCGTGCTGCAGAATCAGTATTTCCTTACTTTTTAAGGCTGAATAATATTCCATTGTATATATGTATGACCTTTTCTTTTTACACTGATTTGTCAGTAGACACTTGGGTTGCATTCACCGTTTGATTCTTACAAATAATGCTTCTATGAATGTGGGTGGGCAAATACATTTTTCAAGTCCCTGCTTTCACTTATTTTGGGTATATACCAAGAAATGAAACTTCTGTATCATATGGTAATTCTATGTTTAATTTTTTGAGGCATCATTATATTATTGTTCACAGTAGCTGTACCATTCTCTATTTCCGAGCAGGAACAAATAAGCAAGAATTCAAATTTTCCACATCCTCACCAACACTTGGTTATTTTGGTCTTTTGATCATAGCCATCCTGAGTGTGAGATGGTATCTCATTGTGGTTTCTTATGCATTTCCCTAACAATTAATGATGTTGAATAATTTTCCATGTATTCATTGGCCATTTGTATATCTCCTTTGCTTAAGTGTCATTCATGACCTTTGCTCATTTTTTCATCAGGTTTTTTTGTTGTTGCTGAGGTGTAAGTTTTTATATATTCTGGCTATCAATCCTTTATAAGATACAAATATTTTCTCCCTTTTTTTTAAATTTTGGTATCATTAATGTACAATTACATGAAGAACATTATGTTTACCAGGCTCTCCCCTTCACCAAGTCCCCCCCAACTACACCTTCACAGTCACTGTCCATCAGTGTACTAAGATGCTGTAAAATCACTACTTGTCTTCTCTGTGTTGCACAGCCCTCCCTGTGCCCCCACACACACACTATACATGCCAATCGTAATGCCCCCTTCCTTTTTCCCCACCCTTGTCACTCCCTTTCCACCCATTCTCCCCAGTCCTTTCCCTTTGGTAACTGTTAGTCCATTCTTGGGTTCTGTGATTCTGCTGCTGTTTTGTTCCTTCAGTTTTCCTTTGTTCTTATACTCCACATATGAGTGAAATCATTTGGTAGTTGTCTTTCTCCGCCTGGCTTATTTCACTGAGCATAATACCCTCTAGCTCCATTCATGTTGTTGAAAATGATTATTATGGCTG